AATATAACACGTATTACCAATGGACAGAGTGCTGATTACAAACAAGCAAAGAAACAAAAATTAATACCAAAAAAAAAAAGAATAAGCCAACCTAATATATAAAATGAGTCAGCAGTATGTAACAAGCATTACTTTTATTTGTATCAGTAAAGAAAAGCAGTTTACCGTATTATATTTTCTAGAAAATAATGTAAAAGATGTAAGTGATGTTGCAGAAAAGCACACAAGTTTGTAGCACTCTTACTTTTAAAGAACTTGTTTGACCAGTTTATTGTCCTTAATTTTATCTAAAGTGGTGTTAAAGAAACTGATATCAGTACTAAGTTTTACTTTAGCCCAGCTCTCATAACTGATATAATCCTAGTGACACAACTTTAGTCCCATCCTCTTTAGTATCACTGTCTTTCAACGGCTTGCCAAGGTTGAATACGTGACTAGTTAATGTCAAAGACTTATTGGGAAAGCAGTTCTTTTACTGCAAGTATAGCATGATAAATTGACTGAAATTTCAACACAGCAACAACAAACGCTACTTCTAATCCAAAACAATCAATGACATCATAACATACAATGAGAGAGTTGAAATCATGATGCTTCTCAAGGAAATAGTCAGAAGACTTAAAGCCCTTCGTGAGGTCAAACAAAGGAGAATGCATCATGTTTGCATGTAAAACATCAGGTCTGGACAATGAAGATAAAAACTTTCCTCAGCTATGAGCTCACTGGATCTGATGGGGTGGACCTCCATCACATCTCAGATTGATCAGCTGCTGTAAATGATATAAAAGCAAGAGAGAGCACCTACAGATACATCAGTGAGATACATCACACACTCATCTACATCATGACCTTCACCATCTTCTCCATCACCTGCCTTGCCCTGGTGGCCTCTGCTCTGGGTAAGTGTCTCCTTTATTTTGCAAGAATAATGATGGACAAATAGAGAAAATGTAAAACCTAAATTAAGAGCCCCCTGCCTCATGAATAATGTATTACATTTTGTAATAACAGGTTGTGGAGTGCCTGCGATTAAACCACAGACGATCGGCAGCAGGATTGTGAACGGACAGAATGCCATCTCTGGTTCTTGGCCCTGGCAGGTCTCTCTTCAGGTAACTCATCTGTTTTTCAAACACACATTTGTCTGCTTTGTTTAAAGATTAAATTTCATGTTTTCAATGCTTTTACCTTTTAAACAGCACCCCAATGGTTTCCACTTCTGTGCAGGATCCCTGATCAATGAGAACTGGGTTCTCACTGCTGCCCAATGCGCTGTCATGTAAGATTCTTCAATCTGACAAACATCACATACATTAGTGGTTCATAAATACTCTGTCTGGTTTATTTCTGTATTTTATCTATTCATTTTATTTTTATCTCTCTTTAGGGTGGGCTCTCACCGTGTTATTCTTGGAGAACATAATCATGGACCCCATCCAGATCCAACTAGTTTCCAAGGTAACAAAGTTTTATGATCTCAGTGGATCAGAGATATTGAAATTGAAAAAAAAAGAGACCAATTCATATTGATTTTGTTCTGGCCAATATTAATTACATACGGAATACAACCAGAAATAATTTTTAATTGATGTTTTATTCCTGTGTTTTTTAAACATAATAACCAAGTCATCATTACACTACAAAAACATATTCATTATAAATATTTTAGTAGTAGGAGTATGTCCTGTAATTTAAGAAAAGGTGTGATCTAAAAGGTTGCAAAATAATTTTAATCTTTGTTTTAGATTTTATTATTGTTATTGTTTAATTGAACTCACATATTTCTCATTTGTGTTGGGTCAGTCAATGACTTCATGCTGAAGTCTGAGACTTCATACTGTTTTCCTGTTTCAGCTGTACAGATAATGAAAACGTTTCAATAAATAAGATGAGTAAAATAATAGCAACGGAGAATGTTGTAGAGTCTAATTAATGACATGTAATATCCGACGGGTAATATCAGACAAGTCCTCTGCTCAATCTGACTTGAGTTGCAGCCTGGAATTAAACCACACATGCTGGTTTCGTCTGGCCAGAGGAGACTTGTCCCCCTAGCCTTGTTTCTCCCAAGGTTTACTTTGCTCCATTTCTGTCACCGACGGAGTTTTAGTTTCTTTTTTTCCTTTATTTGCAAGAAGAGCAACAACAAAAACAACAACAAAAAACATACATTAACAGTCGTCTTCAGAGGCATCGTAGTAAAACAATCATACTGTCATAGTTGAAAACAAAGCAATTGCCAGGAAAAAAAATAAAATTCATGATAATAGTAGTAATAAATAATTAAATAATAAAAAAGAAAAATACAACAGGTGGATAATTGATAATGGAAAAATTATTTCTGCCCCAAAACAATGGCGTTAACAAGAAGGAAATGTCAACCATAAAACGAACTTAGCCTGAGAACAATAACCTTTTGCCTGTTCCTGGTATTCAGGATTATGATTTACTTACAGTGCAACAGTCTGGCAGATCCGGTTCTAGGCGAGTTGTGTAGACCTTTGTCCATTTTTGGTGATGCATGTTTTGGTGATTCATGGTCTGGCTGTGACGTCACATTACTGGTTTCCTGTTTCAGTTGAGCAAATAATGGGAAAAAAAAAAGCATGACTAAAATATAAATGACAAATCTACGAGAATAATGTCATGAGTGTACATTGAAGTGAACTGAAATATACTTGTAGAAATAAATCTTATGCCCACTTTGCTCCTGATTAACCACTAGAGGTCGGTAATAATCTATTTAGAAACTGAACCTTGAATATGGCAAGCAGGGGTTTGCAGGGCCCCAGTGCATGTTTTTACCAGTGGGCCCTGTTTGAAATTGTTTCATTTGTATGTTCATTCTATTTATTTATTTGTGCTATTTACAATGTTTAAGTTTTCTCAAGTTTGTAGGTGTCCAGGTACAGAAACCGAATAATCAAATGTAAAATAGCACTGCATAGTCTTCACTGTAAAAAATTAAATATACAGTCAAACCAAAAATTATTCAGACACCTTCAACATTTCTCACATTATTTGCTATAGTTTAGAAAATTGTAATAAAATATAACAAGAACTCGAAAGTAATTCAGTCAAGAGCAGTGAGTGATTTTCTTTCTTTCATTTTCTTGGATTAAAGGTGCAGTAGGAGATCTTGGAAAATGCTAACTTTGGCCTGATAGCACTGAAAGCCCCACCCTCCCTGCAATCGCCATCTATCGGGATGTGAAGAGACTTTCAACCAGCATAACAAAAAATGTTTCTGAAGACAATCACCTATTGCACCTTTAACATTACAGCAGCTAGTAAATTATGCTCGGTCACTTTAAGAGACAATGCATCCATTACAATGATACACATCCGATTTCTTTCTCCACTGTTTACTTTCACTTAAGACATAACCAACAGTTTTTTCGAGGAGACTCTCCAAGACGGGTTTTTGACAATTTTGTATGTATTTGTCGGTACAAGAGCAAGAAGATGCAAATTCGGTGTTCAAGCGCTTTGAGACGCGGCTTTCTGCATGCGCCCTGTGCGCACAGAACACCGCGCGCGGGTGCTGAATTGGGCTCTTTCACATCTTTTTCTGTTTGCATGTTTAAACTGCGATTGTTATTTGTTCATTCAGGTGCAGAAGGACGCGAAGGAGAGCTCGGTTCGGTGTTGCTGTCTGTGAGACAGTAAATACAAATTAGTAAATTAGAACAAGGCGTGCGAGTAGGCTAGCATATTTTTAGGCTGGCCTCAGCCAGTCGGTTGAGATCGCTGGAGGGCCCCCCCTCAGCCGTGGGCCCTATAATCGTCACCACTTTTCACCCCACTAGAGACGGCCCTGATGGCAGGTGTGAGACCAGAATCTTCTTCAAACATCTGGTCTGTGGTCATTTATATGCATGCCATATTAAAGAGAATAAATACTCAAATACTGAATACAGTTTATTATTATTATCTTCTATATACATATAAGACCGTTTTCTTCAGAGTCCCCATAAAACATAAAAACCAATGCGCGCTGTGTGTGTGTGTGTGTGTGTGTGTGTGTGTGTGTGTGTACACTCAGGACCGCTGCTGGCCAAATGGGTGCCCTAAGCAGAATAGCATTGTTGTGCCCCCTTCTTCTTCAAAAAAAAAACCCTTCAATAAAGGGTCAAAATAGAACTTTAATAAAATATAAAAGTAAATAAATAAATAGTAATTCAATTGGATTATTTATAAATTACATTTGTAGCTCTAGACAGTTACCTTTGGCTATAATTTTATTAATATCGTTGTCTGATTGATTTTATAGTCTCAAGCATTCAGAAATCACACAAAATAAAATTAAGCAGTTTTACTACGTAAGTATTTTGGTAAGGGTTGTGATGTCCACATGTTTTTGTTGATGAAATTAAGTGGATATTTGAATTAAATGTTTTGTGAATATAGTAAACAAGGATTTGATCATCCTGTAAGTGTAACAACAGTAGATTATTATCAGGCCTTTGGTGCCCTTTGCAGGCATTTGTAAAAACGCAAATTGTTTATTTTGTATTACATTATGTATTTAACAGTGTTATTCAATGAAACCATGCTTATTATTAATTAACCAGTCTTTATTGCCTCATATTTTTTATATAATACATTTTAAGTCATGAAAACTAGAATATTAAGCCAGATGCGTTGTTGGTGGTGGTGAAATTATTAACGACATTAATGTCAACAGTCAAAAAAGTCCTCGTAGTTTTTATATAATACATTTTAAGTCATGAAAACTAGAATATTAAGCCAGATGCGTTGTTGGTGGTGGTGAAATTATTAACGACATTAATGTCAACAGTCAAAAAAGTTTCACAGGATTATGAACGTAGTTACCTGAAACCCTGTTGAAAAAAAACAGTTACTACCTGCTTTTTATAGAAAATAGAACTGAAAGACATGCCAAATTATACGGGATTCCGTTAGCAGAGCTATATGTGGGCTAAAAAGGGGGTTTCACCTGACACTTCACCCTCACACACGTTCACAACAGCTAGTTGATCTTCATTCCCAGACCTTTTTTTACCTGTGATGAAAAGATAACATACTCTAAGGGTGTAATCACTTTTATGTTTTTGTATAAAGTATATTGTAGCCTATATTTTTATGTAAAGTATAATATTATACGTATAAATGTAATATAATATAATATAATATAATATAATATAATTGTTATTATATCCGAGTTGTCTGGAACGCAGCATTAGGTTAACATTCAATAAACGAGCATGTACTACAATTACGAGTCATTCTTTTAGGTAACATTTCAGCACTTGACAAACGGATAGCGACTCCTAAGTAGCACTTAAGCACGGCTACGTGCGATTGCGTTAAGTGCATTTTTTGGGAAACGCACGTGAAACAATAACAAACGATTGTAAAATGACTCGTAGAAAACGCTCTTAAGTCCTAAGATCAATCGTTATCGAGAAACACAGCCTAGGTTGTCATGCAACAACTGTGCCTGAAATATTTTAACATTCCCATTTTAACAGCCTAATTAATTAAAAATGATAAATATGTTTTTCTCCGTTCGATATTGTGCTTGAATTCATTAGGCTACACAAAAGATATTATTCGTGTCTCCCGAAAAGAAACGCACAGACTACAAATACTCAACTAAACAAAACATTCTTTTCATGAGCTTCGCCGCAACTCGTTCACTTGCTGAAATACATAAAATAATTCAATAAATACATATTTAGAATAGCCACTTAATTCAAATAACTACTGGGGTAATTAATCAAATAAATAACGAGAATTCACTGACCAAAATCAGCTTGAAAATGCTAACAAAGACGGATCCGTAACTGAAAGGTACTCTGTTACTTCATCAGTCAGTCATGGAAGTCTGGTGGTTGATGGGCTTCTGGCAACATTAATTTCAGGAGAGAAGACCATTTTATAGATTTGAGTGCACAGGTTTGAGCGTACACATCCGAGTGAGAGAGAGCACACGTCCTGTTTTGTGCATTATATACTGTTAGATGTGTTTTGTCCACCTTTCATATGCTGTATAATTATATCACTAGGTAACAAAGATACATTAACAACACAACAAAAAAAATCTTTTAGAAGGGCCTCACTGATTAATTTTGTCTGGGGCCCCCACTTCATGTAGGTATGCCTCTGGTTCACATGATGTAAATTTTGGGTGAACGTGCAGGGAAATACCTCGAGTCAAACCACAACTCTGGGAGCCACTGCTGTACCTTCAGTGAGCATCTCT